ATTGACTACAAAATTTGAACATACCACATAAACTGTTTGTTTATGCACAGGAAAATAATGCATCATTAAAACAATGCATTGTGAATTTTAGCACAACATTAGCATAATAATAGTACCCTACATCGGCAGTGAAATGATTAACTTCATTTTAACTCCTTAGGTGGACATCGCAACCATTGATACCTCAGAGTACAAATCCAAAAGTAGACAGCCCTCAATAAGGCTTATCCTAAGATCTTTCGATTATTATATTTGTAGCAGATGGCACTGTGGCTGTCCTTAAAAGACTATGAGAATCCTGCAATTCGTGTGTTCTGTTTTGTTATTCCCTGTAACTAGCATTCGTATGTTTGTTCGGTAGTTTCCGTATGTATTTCATTCGAATGGAAACTACCGAACTAATAGACCTCCCCAGAGTGAAGTGTGTTCCCAATTAAGTGTCGAACATGTGTTAACTGCAAACTAATAGCTGGTTTATTGCTGTATCTGGGTGGCTGCCATTCAACATACGAACACGTGGCGGCGGCCATCTTACGCACGAAAGACTCAGCGGTGTTTGGTCGGCGAGTGTCTGGAACTCAAATCGGACACTCTAACACCGCTGACACCTCCAGAGCTCCATAACTCCTGAACGGGAAGACGAATCAGCCCCCCGTTCGGTGTGTTTGGAGTACTGAACAAGGGCATTTAGGCGAATGACCGTTTATTCATGGATGGCATGTATTTTAATGTATCTTACCTTCTGAACAGAGACCGACCGCAGGGCCAAAACGCATGGAACCCATTTCGGATATCACCTTGTGTGCTGTCGGTCAAATTTCACCCTCCTCCTAACTGCCGATGATCTGGTCCGATCTGGTTGAATTTTGGATATGTTAGTCACCCAGATCACGGCTACCGGGGGGTACCCAAAGTAGGGGTGTACCTGCTAAGCTTGGGGTACATCCAGACCTTGGGGAAAACTATCCTGTATAATGGGATTAGGTGTCATACTAAGGGGAGGAGAAGTGTGGGAGGTAACTGCTATTTCATTGGATACTGTATTAATGAATGTGAATCCCTCCCTTGCATGGGAGAAATGCTTAAAAGGAGGTTGTGTGGAATAAACATCAGTTCTGCTCCTGATGCTGTGTGTCGTCCAGCCATTGGGATCTGTATGGGGATATTCGTGGATTACTTTGCTTATTGGAATTATTGCTTCTTGGGATTTTTCATCACTTGTTCCTGAGCCTCACTGGGATCTTAGTGGAGTTAACCTGTGAAATACCAGGTCTCGCTACAATATGTATATACAGAGACCGTAATCGGTCATAGCAATGTAGAACACTCAACAGGAAAAGAAGGGGTTAAAAATGATAGTGTAATAAATGATTAAATAGATATTAACTAATCTAGGTGGTACCAAGTCTTCATACTTTTTCTAAACAGTGATCAATCCAGAATAGAGATTGCACATTGACAGTTAGATTTAAAATGATCTACCACAAGATATATTAATTCACACTGCTAAAATAGATTGCAAAATGGCTAATGTGTGCATTAACCCCAAGTATCTGAACTATAGTAAACCTGCAGACAGTTCTGCATAAAGTTAGTTCTAAAATATTTCTATCATATACAAGTAAGATACTGATGATTCATTGCATTATTATTACAACAATGGGTTAACTAGACACTTGACACAATAACCGTTAACTCAATCGCATATGACCGATAAGGTCATTATCAAAACTGCTACAATTGAATGGTTATATAAAAAGGGGCTGTTCTCATAATCCGGTAAATAAACCTGAAATCGCTTAACCACAATCACACAGTACCATCGGATTGGTGGCCGGTCACGGACCCGACACGGGGCTAACCGCTTAAAAGTTGATGCAGAGTCAGTATACACCTTACCCCTGACAAAGGTGCACAAGCTGTGCACCGAAACGCGTGTCGGGCAACTTTCTTTAATTCACAGGGCACTCACTATGACGTTGGTGTATTATACCATGCATACCTAAGCATACAGGATGGGACATTTTTATTCGCACGTTACATTTTCTTTCTCTTTTTCATACTCTGACTGTCTAGCAAGTTTAACAGGGAGAGAGGCTTTATCTTATTTCTATGCTGTACTACCTTTTAGTGTAATAGAACTTATCTTAGGAAGTACTGTTAATAGTCATTACTATATCAAGACAAAATTATCCAGCATGTTCTTGAAGGCATGTACCAATTACCTAAGACTTTTATCAGCTAGCCTCCAATAATGTTCACATACTGGAGTGAACATTCACTATAGAAATTATACTATCTCCCTTTAAAATAGCAAAATAGCTTTTGTATTCATATTGACTCTATCGTTTGGTTTTGTGACAGGTGTATAATTGTTAATTGCTTTCTACAAATATCCAGTTTAGATCTGCATTCAAAACTGTAACCTTTTCTCGTTTTGAAGGATATTTCATATTTCTGTGTCTTTTTGGTGACTATATTCAGGGTGAGCGGTTTTGCAGCAGCAAACCCCCTTAAACTGAATATTTCTATATTTAAATTCCTACCCTTACCTCTTGTTCAAGTTGATTAAAAATATTTGAATTGAGTCATACTGACTAGTAATGTAAAACATTCTCATTCTTGTTGGTTGCTATAATCTTTAATGTTTGCAAGCCATTAAAGATTTTATATTTAGAATGTTTTCAGATTAGTTTAAACCATTCTGAACATTTTGTCAATTGCCCAAGTTGTAAACCAAAATAGAGCCTAGAATTTGAGTTCTCTGTATTTTAAGGATGTGCCCCAATACATATACTATATTGTTTTTTTCTGTTTTTGTTTTTTTAAAGGACAGAAAGGACTTTTCTTTTTATTTTCCTATATGCATACCAAACACATTTAAGTGTGAATAAAATGTTAAAAATGGGGGTAATGATTTTTCACAGTTATCCTTGTGATTCAATAATTTTTACACATCCAGTTTAACTGAACAAGAAAAATTCAAAATAAATTGACATATTGGTGCTGATTTGTTAATGCCAACATTATCACCAACCCTATGCTTGAGCTAACACTTACTGTATATCACTACCCTTAAAGGGACACTATAGTCACCTGAACAACTTTAGCTTAATGAAGCAGTTTTGGTGTATAGAACATGCCCCTGCAGCCTCACTGCTCAATCCTCTGCCATTTAGGAGTTAAATCCCTTTGTTTATGAACCCTAGTCACACCTCCCTGCATGTGACTTGCACAGCCTTCCATAAGCACTTCTTGTAAAGAGAGCCCTATTTAGGCTTTCTTTATTGCAAGTTCTGTTTAATTAAGATTTTCTTATCCCCTGCTATGTCTAGCTTGCTAGACCCTGCAAGAGCCTCCTGTATGTGAGTAAAGTTCAATTTAGAGATTGAGATACAATTATTTAAGGTAAATTACATCAGTTTTAAAGTGAAACCAGATTTTTTTTGTTTGTTTGTTTTTTTTTTGTTTTGTTTTTTTTTTCATGTAGGCTCTGTCAATCATGGCCATTGGAGGTGTGGCTAGGGCTGCAAAAACAGAAACAAAGTGATTTAACTCCTAAATGACCATGAATTGAGCAGTTAAATTGCAGGGGAATGATCTATACACTAAAACTGCTTTATTTAGCTAAAGTAATTTAGGTGACTATAGTGTTCCTTTAACCTTACTCTATACCTATCCCTAAACAGCTTACCTTAACCTAACCCTAAGAAAACCCTCTGCTTATTAATATTAATCTCCGCATCTAGGTTTCCTAGTTAAATATGTGCTCGTCTTCTACTGGCTGTTTTCAGCATGACAGGGAGATTTCCCTGTAAAACTCCAGCATGTTTTCCTAGTCAATCACAATTGGCATGGAGGTTTTCCCTTAAGCCAAAAATTCTCCCTCTACCTCCCTCCACCCTAAGCATGTATCGGTTTAACTCTTACCTATTTTGGATGAAGGACCTAATTAATTGAATCAATGCTTTTCTGTGGGGATTTAGAAAATCCTGAACATTCAAAGCGTGAAGACATCCAATGTCCATTGTCAGTTTCCATTAGAGTTAATGAAGTGCCTCTAGTGGCTCTAAAACTAATATTATTTACATTGCAGGGTTAAGGGGACAGGGACACTTCACCCAGACCACTTCAATGTGATGAAGTGGTCTGGGTGCCAGTAGTCTCCCTTTAAATGCCCATTTAAAATACTCTATGCAGCGCTTACTTTGAGCATACAGCTCACTGGTCAGTCTGACATCCCTAAATATGGCCCCAGCTGACAAAGGGGAGCCCCAGGATTTAAATCTTCTCACACCAAAACCTTAGGCCATTCTATGCTGTCCTGATGGTGATAATACCCAATTTGTGGAGGATTGCATGGAACATAATGAAGGGGTTTACAGTTATATCTGAACTGATTTTGTTATACACCATTAGCAATACATTGATAATGATGAAATTATTGCAAGGTTACTTGTCATCAGTTAATCACCTATATTTGGGGAACAACTTGAATTGTTTTATTTAAGTGGTTACTCCAACCAAAGATCAGTGTTTTAAGAAAACGTTGGTGTAGCGGGACCTGGGTAACAGGCTGGTTATTCCCTTTCTTAAAGGGACACTATAGTGAGGTTGTTCAGGTGAGTACTATAGCTCCCTGCAGCCTTTCTCATGTAACCACTATATCTTGAGAAAATACAGTGTTTACATTGAAAGCTAGGAACACCTCCAGTTGTAGTCACTTAGAGTGAACCAGAGGGACTTGGGCGTTGATGGAGGCATAATATGCCTCCATCAACTCAGATCTGCTGTCAGCAGGGCACAGGGCAGCACTGTGCACAGCATCCTGTGATTCAGTATCTCCTCCCTCTGCATGCAGACACTGAACTTTCGTCATAGAGATTAATTGATTCAATTAATCTCTGAGGAGATGCTGATTAGCCAGGGCTGTGTTTGAATCATGCTGGCTCTGCCCCTGATCTGCCTCTTTGTCAGTCTCAGCCAATCCTACGGGGAAGCACTGTGATTGGATCAGGCTACCACATGTCAGCAGACTGCTTGTTTTTCTGAGTCTAACTGCATGGAGATTTACAGCTTCAGGCTTGAATACAGTAAGATTTTTACTATCTTTATGGAGGCATGAGGGGCCCAGGGGGGCTAGATGGTGGTGTTAACACTATAGGGTCAGGAATACATGTTTGTGTTCCTGACCTTATAGTGATTCTTTAATAATCAGTCAGACCCATAATCCCAGTAACTGGATGGCACACAGTTCCAGGGTACAATCTTTATTTCTTTATACAATCTTTATATACTAACAGGACACACATGAAAACACATTACATACAGGTGGGTGAACTTTGGGGGTGGGGGTGGGTTACAGGGTTAAACTTATTGATAAATATCAGCGGGTCCCACCTCGGATCCCTGCAAAAAGCAGGGTGATCGGATGTACAGAGCCTGAGATATCAGCATCCAAAGTCTGGGGCTCGAGGATCTGTACATCCCCGAAATTATTTCCTGGGAGCTGCATGGTTTAGTCTGGCGAATTCAAACTTTGCGCCTAAACCAAGCAACAGCTAATCGGCTGAATGGGTGCGAACCAAATCGCGCCAATCAGCGCTCAGAAGAGGAAGGAGTTTTGCCACCCAATCCGAAGAAAGGGCACGAAACCTAATTGCACCAATCAGCGTCTGGGGCCAGAGGGGCCTCTCTGCCCAGTCAGATGAAAGGGCTTGAAAACCAGTTTGAACGGGTGCTCCTGCTCTGATTGACCGGCTTGTTCAGGAGACGAATGCTCACCCTGGTGGGCGTTCAGTGATACAAACCGGCGGCCACCCATGGGAAGCACGCGCCGCTTGTTCCCTTGAGATCTGCGGTTTTCACACCTAGTTAGCGAGATGTGAACATTCTAACTAAACGTTCTAAATGGGGTATCAGGGTGGTCCGGCACACTGGGCACTGGAGCGCCCCCGTGTGGTTAAAAGGTAACTTGCATGTTTTAAGGTCAAAATTAAGGAAGGGGGGGAACACACAAAGGGAAAGGGCAATTCACAGTTAAGCAGCGGTCCCGCCACAGTTGTTTTTTTGTTTCCCAACTGGAAAAAAGGATGAGTCCTCCCTTCAGTCCGATCTTACTCTGCTGATGTTACTCCTCCACGGAGTGGGCAGAAGGTCAGGGAGTATGGACTGAGAGGGGTTGGGGACATGCCATTATTGGCTATCTGGCACCAGCATGCTATGCGTGCTGGTGTCCGACTTAAAATTTCACAGGATTGATGCACAAATATGCTGCAGGATGTGAAGTTCCAGCAGCACAGGGCTGTGTGTATATATGTTTGTTCGGCAGGCACCTTCAAATCACTGACATCCCTGTAAATGCATATAGCACCTCTAGTGGCTATTTGGTAGATAGCCAGCAGAGGCAGTCTTAACCCTGAAATGAAACTGCAGTGTTATATATTGCAGGGTTAAGGGGACAGGAACAGTGCACCCAGAATACTTTAATGAGATGGTGGCCTGAGTGCTTATAGGATCCCCTGTAGTATAACATTATATAGCAAACTTGAAAAGAAAAAAAGCCCTGAAATGGTTTACCTTGCTAGGTGATGCACATCTGGTTTCTGCAGAGCTGAGAGCATCATAATTAATATTACCCAGCATGGAACTCTTGTTCCGAGCAAGCTAATGGTCCTGCAGAGGTGGCGTTATACCTCTGTACATATGGAGATGTTTTATTTTGAAAAATCTCATATACAGGCTCTAAGCACCATGAACACTTCAAATCACTGACGTGGTCGTGATGCTTACAGTAACCATTTAAGGTAAGGTGTTCATTGTACGCACATTTGCAGGATTAAAAAGGGATTAAGGTCATTTTCTGTATGTTTGTGTATTTTAAACCTTTTGATTTGGGGAAAACTTTCTCTACAGACACAATTTCAATTAATGGAATTTATTTACCATAAATGTGAACATTTCAATATATAACCTCATGCTATATAACTAATCCTTATTTCGTGCTGAGTAAATGTTGGGCTGTAATGTATCTTAAATGGAAAACTATTTTAGAAGCATTTTTATTAAAAGAAATGTACTTTTTAAAATCAGATTTTTGAATGAATAAACTGTTTTTGCTAATTGTATGTTTCTTTGTTTAAAATGTTTAGGAGGTATCCAAACTTCGTTCTCAGCTTGCAAAAGAGAAGCAGGCAGAAAAACAGTTGCAAGAACAACTCAATGATATCCAGAATGTAAAACAATTTGACCCATCAAAAGCCTTCCAGCATAATGTCAAGGAAAATATAGTTCCTAAAGTTCCATTACGAGAAGGTAATGTGTTTTTTTTTGGTTTGTTTTGGTATTCTTTCTTCTAATGAAGGATGTTCGATTTGTTTCTGATAGCTTAAAGGACCAGTAATGTCACCCAGGCAATTTCATTGAGATCAAAGACCTGGATGCAGTGTTCCTTTAGTTTTAATAATGCAATGTAAAATTGTAGATTGCAGGGTTAAATTCACCTCGTGTGTCTGTTTTCCCAGACAGCCACTAGAGATGCTTCCGCTGCAATGACCAAGTAAAACTGTCAGGTGACATTGCAGCTCCCATAGGAAATCATTGATTTAATGGTTTGAATGTGCTCCTCTTTGAGGAGCATTGGATTGAACCATCGTGGGGGGGCATTGAATCCTCAATGACATCACAAGGAGAGGTAAGCAGTGCAGAGGGAGCCTCCGCACTGGATAAAAGTGAGCAAAAGGCTTTATTTTTTTTTATTGTTGTACACGCCTCGGCGACATCTAAATAGGGACAGAGACATTAAGGAGTTAGGCATGCAGGTTTGTATTCACAACGCTTTAGTGTTCCTTTAATCACAACCTCTTTAAGAGCTCACTGGTGAAAGTTAGGATTCTACTTTGGATTCAGTAACCTTTCAGGATTGGAATGGAATGAGACAGGGCTGCCCAGACAGACAAATACAGACATAACCTTTTCACAGATGTTCTTCTCCTTTCGTTGATCTCCCTTACTAACCTGTTTGCCATATTTCAGCTTCTGAGAAGCCATCCAGTTTTAAGATTAATTTTTCTAATTGGTGAGGAACTGAATGTGTCCCGTTCTAGGGTCCTGAATTGCCTCTGATGCTGTTACCTTACAGGTTGATGCCAATACACCTTAAAGGTACATTTAACTCGCCATGACTACAGCATGCCATAGGATTTTTTTTGGGGGGCACCCTGCCCACACACCAAGCTAAATAGTTAAACCATTTGTGAATTTACCTGGTGTTCACAGGGCACCAGTCAGGAGTGCAATACAGAGAGCTGCTAGCACTCATGAAGGAAGTGACTGTTAACACTGACAACTTATCTGGGGTCTGCCAGATGCCAAAGATTTTTGACTACCTACTTTGCCAGGGCATTCGGGGGGGGGGAAATAGGTGCAATGAAGCCATTATGTCAGAGAATTGTCTGTTCTTGGTAAAGTGTCCCCAAGCAAGACAAATTAAAGCACAGACAGTGTTTTTTACACTATTGCAGATGTCCAGTCTAAGTTTAAAGGGATACTGTAGTGTCGGGAATACAAAGCTCCCGATCCCTCTGCCTCTCCCCTCCCTTGTGCCAACCCCCACCCCCATCCTGGGAAAATAAAGTGTTAAAAACACTTTATTTACTTACCCTATCCCAACGATTATGTTAATAGTTCAACATTTACATTTATAAAAAGATAAGAAAAGTGTCTGCTTATTTTACAAGTGCTTTGTTGTTTGAGGATGGCTGGCAATAAATATGGCCTTGTTTATTAAAGAGATACTCCAGCCTCAGAGCATTAACCCAGTTCAAATGCATTTTGATTTGGATTTGCCATTCATCCTGTATTTTTCCTTTACTTTTGGTGTGATAAACAAAATGTTGCTGCTTAATACAGCATAACTGCCATTTAAACAAACATCCTCTCTTCTCAAAACTTTCTTAGAAGTACTATATTCAGCTGAGCCAGTGTGATCTGAGCTGCTCCCATGACTCTGCTCCACAGTCCTTATATGCTCCTTAGCACTATTTGGAATACTATACAGAAAATACGAGGAACATGATTGACTATGTGTCAGTATTGGCGTGGAACCTAAATGAGCAGACTATAATACAATAACTATACAAGCAATATACCAGTCCTTAGAGGGGCTTGGCTAATTGTAGAGGAGTCAGAGAATGCAACGGTCAAGGACTGGAGGAAATATGGATACGTTTTAACAAGCCACGGTCAAAGGATACCAGAGATCAGGAGAAATGAAATTCTGATAGCTCTTGGGCTACCAGAACCACAACAGGGCAACGAGAAGTGGGAGAGGAAAGTGTATACATAGGTTAAGCTTTAAAGGGACACTATTGTAACCCAAAACAACTTTAGCTTAATGAAGCTGTTTTAGTGCACAAATCATGCCCCTGCAGTCTCGCTGCTCAATGCTCTGCCATTTAGGAGTTAAATTTTGTTTGTTTATGCAGCCCTAGCCACACCTTCCCTGGCTGTGACTGAGAAAGCTGACATGAAAACAAACTGGATTCATGTTCAGTCAGATGTAACTTACTTTTAAGTGTTTTATCTCCTGCTCTGTAAATTGAACTTGAATCACATACAGCAGTCTCCTGCAGGCTCTAGCAAGCTAATAACAGAGCAAGAGATCAGAAGTTCTAAATAAAACTGAATTAGATGACTTAACAGGAAATGTTTAGGAAGGCTCTGTAAGTCACATGCAGGGTGGTGTGCCTAGGGCTACCTAAACAAAAATGATTTAACTCTTAATGGCATAGAATTGAGCAGTGAGACTGCAGTAGCATGATCTATACACCAAAACTGTTTCATTAAGAGTACGTTGTTCTTGTGACTATAGTGTCCCTTTAATTTCTATTGGCCCATGTCATAAGTTAATTCCTTATGATACGTAGAATGCAGAAATCCTTACTAGCATATTTGTAAATGTCATATTTGTGCGCCGAATTTGGTCTGGCAACTTAGCCAATCAGACCCGAATTCGGCGTTCCAGAAAACACTGCAGCGCACATGCATTCAGTGTTACAGAGAACAGATTCAGGTAAGAGGTACATGATCCCTATACTATTCAGTGTTCAGTCAGCAGCTCAGCTAACACTGATCTCTTATTGTCTGAAGTTCCTTATGCACCTTTCAGTCAGGAAGTTGTTTTGTAAAAAGTGAAGGCATGGCAAGGGCTGGTGATATGCTATATAAATCGGAAAAACATTTAATTTATTTTTGCAAAATGTAAGATTTGAACAGTGATAAAAACATTCAACAAATGAGGCCAACGTTGACCAAATCTATTGAGAGAGAATCTGTGCCAGTGTATATCTGTTCACGTGTCCTATTTATTGTTTTTTATAATGCTTTATCATTTGAAGTAATTGTGTGTTTGTTTGTTTTTTTTTTAACAGGAAACCGAAAGAAAATCTGATTCTTCGCTCAACTTCATATAGTGGATCTAAAGATTTAGAAATATTTGATTTGCATCATAAAATACTGCTTGTGTGTGTATATTATAATTTTATTTTGGTTTTCTTGCTTTTTGTCTGAAGAAATCATGTGACATGCAGATTATATTTTATTAACTCCTTTGTCAATAAGTGACTAAAAATAGAACATTGTTTTAATTTGGGTGATTTTTAAATAAAGATTTTATCTATTTGCTTTTTCTCACACGTACTATATTTCTCCTGTTTCTGAATATTGGGGGTGGAGGGGGATGTTCTGATTACACCACAAGTTGTCCTTACACTACATAACTTCTGATTACACCACAATTTGTCCCAAAACGAACATCGGACATGTGCCCCAGTATAAAATGTTTTTTTGTTTAAAAGGACACTATCGGCACCAAAACAACTTTAGTGTAATAAAGCTGTTTTCCTCTCTCACTATTCAATTCTGTCATTAAGGAGTTAAATCACTCTGTTTCTACACCCACAGTCACACCTCCATAAATTTAGTTTGCACAGCCTTCCTAAACACTTCATATATAGAGAGATTATATAATGTTTAAACTTCCTTTATTGCATAGTCTGTTTAATTTAGAATTTATCTGTGCTTACTCCACATGACCTAGAGCTTACACATGCCGGGAAGGATCTCCATGCTCGTGTTGCACAATCCATTAGGTGACTGGGTCTCATTGGAGGCATGACAGACAACACTGCTGCCTCAACTTCATGAAGAAGATTGAAGTTATGGCCAGGGAATAAAGGGGCCCCCTCGGGCAAGCATTAGTCCTAGCTACTACTAACCCGTCTATGCCGAGGGACATTAGGAGTAAAACCACAGGGCATCTTCGACACAGACAGAAGGCTGTCTGCAACCAGCGGTTCACTACCATCCAGGCATTCTGTTACTCCCTTTTCGGGCATGGACTTGAACTCTTTGAGCCCCTGAGTCCCTAGTCTGAAGATGCCAGCCGGCATCCAGGCCCTGTTCATTCCTGTACTTTTGTTGCCTTCCATTATCCCTTTGTACATGGCAAATGATTCCCAATACTAGGAATTGGATCATCATGGTTATGTCGACCCAGGCAGCCTAACACCTACTTTTGGAGACTTGCCCAACTATCTAGAGACTTCATCCTTATTATCTAAACATCAATATTTGTATTTGCTTGTTTAAGCTTTATTCTTGTTGCCACACATTTATTTTCTCTTATTTTTAAAATTCAACAGTTGAGTGCAGTGTAATGGTAGTGAGTTCAGAACCAGTGCCTTTCATATTCTAATACATTGTGGCAAACCCCTATTTACCTGACCTTGCTGAGAACCCATGGAGCAGCCTGCTTGCCAGCCTCCTGCCCACAGACTATGGGCCCTGCAGGGAAACCTGTAAAAGACTACCAAACTTGACCGACTGTTAGCACTGATTTCCCTGGAACAGTTTTGAACATGGGGCCATGCTTGCGGTTGGTCAAAAATATGACTTCCAGGAAATTCCTATGGCAGTGTCTCATTGTATGACTCTTTTTATTGGTTTGTTCACTTTGTGTCCCTGTGCCCAACAAGGTCCACCTGGGTGTCGCCCTTGTTGGAAAATTTGCATAAAAGGCTATTGTGCCTTCATTAAAATGGTATTCCAGCTTACACTTCAAAACTGTGTGTCGTCCTATTATTGGAGGGAAAGAAGATCTGCTCCTGTGTCTGCTGTTCCAGCTTGCAGGAGATTCAACGGGGAAAGGATTAGAACAAATTCCCCTTTTGGTTCTAGAGCTCCCAGGACTGTGTGTCATTCAGTGCCTGGGGGTGTCAGAGCTAATTCCTCATTTGGCTCCAGGAAGGAGGTGGCGGTTCCAGGATGGCGACTGAGGGAAAGAGTGCTGCGGTTCGTCCCCTGTTCCTGCTACTCTATTTGGATTAGGAGAGGTCTACCCATGGGAAGTTAGTTCCTGGTCTTGGGTCCAGGGTGGGTGGAGGACAGCAAGACCCCAACCAAGCTGCGGCGGTTCGTGGGTCTAAGGTGGTTATGGTGTTCCAGTGCGGTGATTATGGTACTCACAAGTACTATGAAGCAGCGATAGACGGAGGTACCCAGACATACATGCCTATATTCTCTACTCTCCTTACTGTGCCTCGTTTCTGCTTCAGGTTTATTTGTCAGACTTCCTATCCATGCTCATGAGTAGCCCTTGTTTATGCTTACGCTTGTAGGCAACTAATATTCTGCACCCATACCGACACAAGTATGTTTCTCATGAGGAATTACTGTTTTCTAGTTCTATATCTGCAGGCTCAATGTTTATCATGTTCTATTTACTTGTTCCAAAACATGCAAATTCATTGACAGGTCATGTACTATGCTTGCAATGTTTTCTGTCACCTACAAACTCATGGAAATGCCACTGTATATCTGATTGTTCATCACTGCACACTCAAATAATTATAAAAATATAATAAAATTATATAAAATTTGCACTTTGGGTAGCTTCATTGTATGCGGTGTGTGTATAGTTACATGTGTAAATATGATTTGGAAAATACATGGCAAGTGGTAGTCCTTGTTTTACACTTCTGCCTCCCTGTGATTTAAAAAAAAAAAAAGGGGGAGGCCTTGGCTGACCCCAAGAAATTTAACTGATAAAGGTATTCAGCCACTCTGGTAAGATATGCAATTTCAGTTGTTGATTATAAAATGTGCTTTTTCCAGGGGGCAGCAAAAAAAGCCGCCCCCAAATGCCCAGGAAAAATGCCTTGTTAGCCTGGCGGCTAAGTAAAAATCTGTGCAGGCAGCACTGGCGAGGGAGCACTTTCTCCTGAGCTCTCTGCTCAGCTCCCTCGCGAGGTAACAACAGAGCGTGACAACGCTCTGATGGTCGCGGGTCTCGTGAGACTTGCATTTACAGCAGCTCCACAGTGTAAGTAACAGCTTGCTCCGGCTCCCAACAGAACCGCCGGGCTTGTAATGAGCCTGGCGGGCCTGGTCTGTATTATGGCAATGTAAGTTGCTATAATACAGACACTGACTCTAGTATAAGCAGAGTGGGGCTTTTTCAGGACAAAAAGTTTGCAGAAAAACTCTGCTTATACTCGAGTATATACGGTAGCTTTTCAGCCTTTGTTTTATTCTATTTTGGTTGAGCCTGTGTTTCATACTCCTTTCATTTAGTATCTAATCTGAGTTTGATTCCCTATGGGTGAAGTGCCAGAACTACACTTTGTTTTTGGCAATTTAACAACTGGACTAGAGCACATTTGTTTGCTGCAGCCAAGCAATGACTTTGTTTTACTGTGATGTACTCTAAAACCTTTCAGTTACTACTTTATGTAGGCATCATCCCCTAGTGGTGAATTGAAGATTATGCTAGCGTCAGTGTACCTATAATCTTAATTTTAATAATGACAGGAGGCGAGTATTTTGCATATCTCTCTTTACTAAACTCCACAGCAGTAAAGAAAGTAAACGTTTAACCAATCAAAAATGCAATAGGGAGTAAGGTATTCCCACAAAATAGGCTCCTCCTCCTCTTTCATAAGCTACATCGTCACAGAGGCAAAAAAGTTAAATATCGTAACATAGAGAAGTTCGTCCAAAGACATCTGGAAGGTACAACGGTGGACGATCAGTGGTATAATAATCAAACTGTAATCAACACCAATGGGTGAGTGTTCAACATTAAGCGGTCCTCATGGAGAGAAGTCGCCTGGGTAGTTTGCCAAAGTAGCTCCCGAAACTCCAGAAGCTGATAAAGTTAAACTGAAATGAGAGTGTCAAATGGGTTAGACTCTGGCCTCTTACTGGTTGTTGCAATTATTGTGACCCATCAATGATCTTAGCAACATATGCGTTAATGTTAGAATCAATTAATAAGTTACTGTCCCTGACCACTGAAGGAGTAGTGTAGAGACAGATTCGAGATAAGGGTGAGCGAAAAAACACTATAATCTAAAGAACGAACAGTTCCCTCTTCCCCGGGTGGGAAAGGGAGGGAAAATACTCACCTTCTGTCATTATTAAAATTAAGATTATAGGTACACTGACGCTAGCATAATCTTCAATTTTTAGTTCAAGTAGTTCAATTTTATCACATGACAGGAGGCTTCCTATTTTGCATTTTTAACGCTGAAGTAGGAGTAACATGGCCGCGTTAGAGTTCGGACAAAAGTAAAAAGTGCGAAACGTGGATTCTCTCGACCAGTCCGCGGAACGTAGGATGTCCGCTAATGAGGCACCTGCTGCTCCTCGTACCGAGTGGGCCCCGAAGGAAGTGTCCACACCTGCAAGTGAAAGTATCCAGCGAACCCATCTGGCGAGTGTAGTGATAGTGATGGGAACGTGTGGTCGAACATATGACACGAGGAGTTGTCCCGAAGGTGGTGTCCGAATCGGAAGTGTAACTTCTACATTGCGTCGTAGAGTGGCTACGATGCAGAGTTATGGATTGGAGTTGAAGAAGGGGTAGAAAACTGTTGAAGAGTCTGATTTCGTGCGATGAGATATGTGGAATGTGACTCCATCCGAGGAGACCTAGAATGCACCTATGTCAAACGCCCGGACATCCGATACCCTGCGGAAGGATACCAGGCAGAGCAGACCCGTTAGTTTTGCTGAGAGCTGTCGAAGTGAGAGTCTGTCGTTGGTCGGCCATTCCCTCAGGAAGCGTAGGACTATCTCGACATCCCAGAGTCGTGAATATTTAGGTTCTGGGGGTCGTTGCAGGCAAATGCCCCTGAGAAGTCGACATATCAGCGGGTCTTTACCCACCGGGATCCCAATGATAGGGACGTGGGCTGCTGAGATAGCGGAACGGACCACATTAATTGACCAGTAAGATCGTCCAGTAATATAAATGAGTACTAGTAGAAGCAAAAGTTAAAAAAGGGCAGTAAAATCCAATAAAATCATAAACAGTATAATAATATATGTATAGAAAGGAAGAGCCCAAAAACTCTGACCTGTCTGCGATGGAGCAGTAAAGCAAGAGGAGGAGGAGCCTATTTTGTGGGAATACCTTTCTCCCTATTGCATTTTTGATTGGTTAAACGTTTACTTTCTTTACTGCTGTGGAGTTTAGTAAAGAGAGATATGCAAAATAGGAAGCCTCCTGTCATGTGATAAAATTGTTGGTGCTACACATGCATGTTGTATTTGGCAACTTTTTTACCAGGCTATAGCACATTGATCTTTTACTACAGTCTTGTGCCAACGCAGTCCCCTAGTGAATAAAACAGGGCATGACACAAAAGGGATAAGTTTATAGTCTTGTAAATTTAATGTTTTGTAATGTAAAATCTTCTTTTGATACACAATGTAAAAGTGAATATTATCTATTGCAATCACAGCCATTTAAAATATTAAGTTTTTTGGTTTTTTTAAAATGTTTTTACTTATTTTCAATATATTTGTTTTTTTCAGGCAAGCTCCACTTCCTTCCTAACAGAGTGAAGCTTGCTTTAAAGGGACACTCCAGGCACCCAGACCACTTCTGCCCATTGAAGTGGTCTGGGTGCCAACTCCCACCACCCTTAACCCTGCAAGTGTAATAATTGCAGTTTTTGTAAACTGCAATAATTACCTTGCAGGCTTAAAGGACCACTATAGTGCCAGGAAAACAAACGCCTTTTCCTGGTACTATAGGGTCTTTAGGTCCCTCCTCCCGCTGGGCTGAAGGGGATAAATACTTGCCTTACTCCAGTGCCGGGCTCCCTCGCCACTGGGGAACTCTCCTCCTCCCGACGTCAGCGCTGAATGCGCATGCGCGTCAAGAGCAGCACACGCATTCAATCAGTCCATAAGAAAGCATTTTAAAAATGCTTTCCTATGGACGTCAGTGTCTTCTCACTGTGATTTTCACAGTGAGAAGCGCAGAAGCACCTTTAGCGGATGTCAATGAGACAGCCACTAGAGGCTGGATTAACCTTATTGTTAACCCTAGATGGACCTGGCACCCAGACCACTTCATTGAGCTGAAGTGGTCTGGGTGCCTATAGGGGTCCTGTAAGTCCTCCTCTATTGGCTGTCTATCAGACAGGCACTAGAGGAACTTCCGTGTTCTTAGAACACAAAGTGTTAAATAATGCTGGATGTCCTCACGCTATGCATGAGGACCTTCAGCGTCGCCGGAATCACCATAGGAAAGCATTGAATTATGCTTTCCTATGGGGAGGTCTAATGCGCGCTTGGCCATTGCTGCACATGCGCATTAGGTCTCCCCAACCGGCTGGCGGCGGAGGAGGAGCATGGGCGGAGCCTGACCCAGCGCAGAGGGACATCAGCGCTGGATACAGGTAAGTCACTGAAGGGGTTTTAACGGATATGTTTTCCTGGCACTGAAGAGTCCCTTTAAGCTCCATCCTTAGACACGATTGCCAACAGCAGGAAAAAATAAATATGACAAAGTAGTCCGTACTTTCTTTTATGTTTTAAAGAGACCTAGGTCAGAATTAAAAAAAAGAGGATGATATAGGAGAAAGGTAAGTGACCGAGCACCCGTAAATGTACTCACATGTAATAATAGTTTAAATGCACTTAAAGGGACACTCCAGGCATTAACACAACTGCAATGCATAGATTTGGGACTCTTCAATATGCTGTAATTTATGCATACTCAAATATTTATAGTTTTTCATTAAAAAAAAAATGAAATGCCACACCATAAGCCTTCCTCCAGAAAGACTTATTTAGCAAATGCATGCACATAGCAGTACTCCATGATCTGAACAACAGAATAACCTCAGGGCCGTCTTTAACGCGGGGCAAACGGGGCAGCTGCCCCGGGCCCAGTTTCTCTTGGGGGGCCCGAGGCACCTGCCCCGTGGGCCCCGCTGCCCTCATCAATTTATTTTTTTCCCCCGTCCCACCGGGTGGCCCATGCACTTAGGGCAGTGGCGTACATACCAGGGTCGCGGCTGCGACCCTGGTATGCACCCACAGGGCCAGCGTCTTCCCCTGGGGGGCCCAGGAGGCGGCCACCCCAGGGCCCCCCGAGGCTGGCCCTGCTGACCCCGGCGGGCGGGTGGCCGGTCAGGCAGGAAGGCGGGCGCGCGAGGGAGCACTCAGTGCTTCCTCTTCAGCTCCCTCGCGCACCGCACTGATACCGGAGCCGGAAGATGACGTCATCTTCCGGCGCCGGCATCCCTACGCGGCGCGCGAGGGAGGTGAAGAGGAAGCAGTGAGTGCTCCCTCACGCGCCCGCCTTCCTGCCCGACCGGCCACCCGCCCGCTGGGGTCAGCAGCACCACTGGACCCCAGGGAATCCCCCCAGCACTTCAAAAGGTAAGGAGGCTGGGGGGATTACATTTAAAAATAAATAAATGTGTGTTTATGTGTTTGTGTGTTAGTGTATGTGTGTGTTAGTGTTTGTGTGTTAGTGTATGTGTGTTAGTGTGTGTTAGTGTATGTGTGTTAGTGTGTGTTTGTGTGTTAGTGTG